TCAGCCACGTCTTTTACTTTCTGCTCAGCTTCCCATTTCAGAAAGATTTAACCTCTTAAGGAAATTGTTTTAAAAGCAGTTAAAAATAATGATTAAATTATGGGATTTACATGAAAGAAATCCTTGGCCCATTCCTTTTTTTAAATCATGGCAATTTGTTTTTTAAAAGGTGTTTGAAGTCCTTGAATCTACCTCTTGGCACCATTAAAAAAAAAGTAGTTTATAATCCCCTAATGTGCTTAAATAAAGCCTTCAATAGTTTAAATTGTTATTAAACATCTTTTGGGATTATAATTTTATGGCTTTTTTTGCCTGATTAGATGATGAACGTGAAGATCATCAAATACTCATCATATAACAAACCAATTACATCGTATAATCCCCAAAATGAGGTTTGAATCCCAACATTTCAAATTAAGCTGGATTTAAAGGATGCAGAGCATTCAAAATGAGCGAACAAAACACTTGGCAAAACACCCCTGAAACTCCCGTCTTTGAGTTTTGAACAAAAAAGTACCACTGCTGAGACAGAAGCATAGTATGGTTTGAAGCAGAAACTAACCCTGTTGCCACAATTAAATTTACACTGATCTGGTTGTAAGCAAGATCATTGTTGCGTCCTCTTCCCTTCCTCCAAGCTTTTCCCTTATTTTACAATCCCTGCTGAGGGCTATACATTACAGTGAGGAGATCTGCTTGAAAAATGGTGGTGAGATATGATCCCTGAATGCTAAGTGATCCAAGAAATAATAAAAAAGAAAATAACAATAATAAAAAAATAGAATCTGTAAAATGTTGCTGGGCTGCAGCACACCCTGAAATTATCCTTAGGGCAACTTCTGGAACCCAGATCCAGCACAGCACTGGTTTGCCCCAGTCCCTTCTCAAGACCCTGGATTTGATGTTCATCTGATGCCACCCAACAAGGTCCCCTCATTTCTGCCTCAACTTTCACAGTTTGGGGATTTTATCACTTTCTCACTAGATAATAGCTTTCTTCTCTCTCTCTCTCTCTCTCTCTCTCTTTTTAACCCAAATTGTAACAGGCCATTCTTTCCACTTCAAATTTACAGCAAAATCCTAAAAAAAAAAATAATGAAAATTTCACAAACCTCAATATTTACAGGCTGGTGTCATTTTCTCCCATCAAAAATTCCAGCAAGCTCCACTGCTACATTTTGCCTAATATTGGCCAAACTGGGCAGCTCTTTCAACCCAGACATTTAATTAAAATTGAGTCAGAATAGCGAACAGTTAGAAATAAATCCTGCAAAGTCTTAAGTGTAAGTCTGGTTGCCACTTTTGCTATTGTTTTATATATATTTTTTTTTTTGCTGCTGTTGTTATTATTCTAAAGGGAAGAAGAAAAAAGGACAATCTGGATTAATTCATCCCCTGAAGTGTTTCAGAGTGTACTTTCCCCATTCACAGAGGACAGAGCCTGCCTACCCTTTGGGCGCATGTCAACTCAGTTCTGCACATCAGTCAAAATAACAGGGGGGCTGCAGCCTGACACTGAGTGGGAACTATAGCCCAAACACTTCAGCAACCAGGGAAACTATGGCCTTACATTTGACTTCATTCCTTCAGTAAGGAAAAAAAGAACTTCCTCCTACGTGGGAAACGAGAACTAAGGGACAAGCCTTAGGAAATTAAAGCAGCACACAGAGGAAAACTTAATACTCTTGGAGATGGAATAACTTCATGAAAGAAATTTAATCAGCCTATAGGCTTTTGAAAGATTGTATTCGTCCAACATTTATTTTAAGTCTTTCCAACCATTAATCATTAGTATGACATACACAGCAATTACTGTCTATTTTGCTTAATTCCATGCCACTGATGTGTATTAATATTACAATTGTGAGGAAAAAATAATTTGCCTTTGAAAAGGAGGGCTCTCAACTAACACCCCAATTAGGAAGCACCAGCGGTCAAGGGGATGCTGAATTTTGTGCTTAACTGCTGTTCATTTCTTCCCTGCCATTTTCCAGATGGGAAAGTCAAGGCAGGTTAAGCACTGGGGGCAAAAGGGAGGTGTTGCCTGCCCTGACAAGTCCCATGCCTGAACAGAACCACCTCCCTATCTCTCTTCACCTCCTGCTGTAGGGAAGACCAAATTCACTAATAATAAACAAATAAATAAATGATGTGGTATCCCTCCAATCTGACCACTACTCCTCAGTGAGAAGCTTAGCTGGAGACACTGTCATGCCACCACGTAGCACTTTAAGAGCAGTCATGAGGCCCAGACACCCTCATAAATCAACTGGAGTTTCAATTCCTTCAGCCTCTCACCCCCTTACTCCTCAGCTCTGACTGCAGCTACGACTTGGGCCTGTGGGGTTATTTTGCAGAGTACAGCACCTCAAGCAGCTTGTCAACATGTTATATTGCTCTAGCACTAACTACAGTGTTGACTCTTCCCATGTTATCAACATGCTTGCCTGGAGGATATCTTCCTCCACACAGACGAATCACTGCTATTCTGGATCCAAGAGTTCCCTGGTGCCTTCTGACTCCAGCAAGAGCACTGCCAGCCGAAACACATGCTTGGAAGAGCCTACATTGTCATCCAGACATGTTTTAATTTGGGGAAACCGTCCACAACCCCACCTAGAGTAACTGGAAAGGTCGGTCTCAAGGTCCTAGCTAGAGAAGGCTGGACTGGGTAAAACAATTCTTCTTTACTGAATTGATCAGACAAGTCTGGAGCCACCATGAAGGTGCCAGAAGAAAATAAGGCTGCCCTGAAATAAACCTGCATGCTTCATCTGTCTGGGCAGGGTGTACACAGGTGGTGGAGGATTTTTAAATCAAGTCAGCTCAACGCAGCAGTTTCATTGCATAGGTCCTGGCTGAGTATTTGAGCCTTCCAGAAGAGACCACCTTACAGGCAGAGGTCCAGATGTTGCAGCTACCAGCACTGCAGCAAGCTCTGCAGGCACTATCCTTTTCTCTTTTGCATACCATTACTGCACAGCAGAAGAATGAAAAGGCACTTGCACTCTACACCTAATCTAGACAAAACAGTGATAGGGTCCTGAGACTGTGCATGAAGCCAGCTGCAAGGTCAGGTCAAGCCCATGTAATTAAACACTCGACAAAGGGTGGTTCCTGCCATGAGGTCTTTCAGGAGTTGCCCCTGTTTCTTCTGCCGTGTTCCCACAGATGGGTTTGGAGGGTGTTAGCTGGCCCAGGCTAAGAGAGTGCTGGAGACTGCTCAAGCAGTTTAATAGGGTAGACCACCACATTCCTGTGCCTGGGCCAGGGTGATGTTTAAATTGCTAGCATAAACAAAGCAACAGGCCACTTTCAGGAAATAATACTAGTATATACTACTTGATTCATAATTCCTCAGCTGGGAATTATGAGGACTGACACACAGTTGCTCTGTGTCCCCTGGTGTGCCTTGACCTGAGCCTCCAGGGCATCTCCTCAAACCAGAACCCAGACCAGCTGCATCAGACTGATCTGAGCATTGCTGCAAGGACAGCATCCTTGGAGTCTTTTGGAGGCCGATGCCCTTAAACTCACATCTACCTGCAAAAAGACACCAGGTGTCAGCTCATCTTGGGTGAGGACCTAGAACTGGGGAGACACCAAAACCAGAAGGGACCTCAGCCTTTGGAACTGATGCACTGAATGCACCAGGGGCAGGGCTAAGAACCTGGCAAAGCTGGGGCACGGCTGACATAGTCTGCCAGAGGGATTAGCTTGGAGATATCTGAGGCCCTCTCCGGCCTTGGAGGAGTAGTGCTCCAGCATGAAGGTTCATTCATAGCAACCGAGGACCACGCGGGGCAGGATTCCCTGCCTGATCCCTGTGCTGACAAGAGTCATGGCAGATATCTGGTTTCTTGGCTCAGCAGGGGATGGAGGGGAGATGTGCATGAGCACTTCCTCCAGTTTACGAGTACACCCTTGGCAAGGCTCCCACCAGGGCTGGGCAAGCTGGCCAGCTTCTGGTTTCATCCTGACCCTAACTACAGGCAGGGGAGAGAGTCAGCCACTGGGATTGGAGGCGAGAGACGCTCTTCACTAACACCTGCAGATCCCCAGAGCCCCTCACCTGGCCATTATCCTGCCAACACAGAAAAGCTCAGACATAAAACCTGGGGCAAAAGGCACACACCCCCGCAGTAGATGAAAACACAGTGACAGATCACCACAGTGTGATGACAAAGGAGAATGGCATTAGCAACACTTTTCTAAATGCTAACGTTAGAAGGTGTGGTACACAATATAAAGCCTTGCAAGAAGCTCCAGCACCCAGCTTAACCACACACACCTGCCCAGAGCTTTGATTTCCAATCCCAGGAATAAAAAAACCCCACAGGTAGCTGTGATAACAGCTGTGCATCCCCCCACCCCTTTATAGCATTAAATACGGGGGTAACTTACACTCTGGGAATGAGAGTGTCTCAAAGAAAAAATTATTCTTTGCTATTAAACCAGATACATTCAGACCTTTCATCATGAAGCTTCTGACGATCTCTGACAAACATCTGAATAAGGCCTTTGTTTGCTTTTTGCTTTGTTTTTGATCTCCCCAATTGTTTTCTGCAGTTCTCCAGAGCACAGAACCAGGAGCCGAACACTGCTCTCTGCTCCAAAGCAGCGATTCCCACGTCAGCTAAGGGGAGCTGCAGCTGTGCGAGCAGTGGGGCAGGACAGGTCGCCAAGGTTATTAGTATAAGCTTAGTCACATTTTGTGGTGACGTCCTGTTAACAAACTGTGACTCCAACCAAAAAAAATATCTAAAATCAACACACACACACATACACACACAAAAAAAACCCCACAACCATAAAAAACATACGCTCCATGCTCTTCCCCAGGCACCTAGGAAATGAGGCAACAACAACAACTCTGCTCAAAAAAGTTCCCTGAGCTGCCTATCAGCAACATCATATGTATTTTTTTTGCTTTCTACAACTACTACAACTATGACATTTTCCATGTTTTATTTTGCATATGTGATCTAGAGTTCACTTACTGTTAGATGCTGGAACAGCCATGCCCTCATGATATTTGTGGCTACTTTGGGAAAGATGCCACGCTTTTTATGTCGCTTTTTGTCCTTATCTGGATCATCATCATCACCTGTGCTGGGGGAAGCTACACTGTTGTCCAAGCCGTCACCTGTAAATATAGTGAATCAAATTTTGACTTATGCTACCTTTATATACTTCAGCCGAAGCCTGGCTTTGGGTATAAACTGCATGAATATTTAAATGAGGTATAAATTCTTTAACACCGTAATTCACCAGGGATTAAAGGGTCGGGGGGGAAGAAACATGGGGAGAGGGAGGGTCTTAGAACTGTGTTAGCCCCATTCTGGTTTATCCTGAAGGACAGTGTGGCCATTTCTGCCACCATAACCCCAAAAGTGCTTAAAAAGAAATAATAAAAGAAAAATCGCAAGCTATCAGCTTGCAAATGTGGAAACAGTGGCTTTTCTTCACACTAGGTCACTTCCTAAAAATTCATTCCAATCAGCTACTTTAGCTGAGATGGCGATTAGGAAAGCATTGACGGTGTTCCATCCCCATGATGTGTGTGAAGCTGGGTGCCCCGTCCCACTCTAGGGTGTAAAAAGTGGGGTGAATGCAGCTCTCTTTCAACATCATATTCTCTTCTCAAATTCGGAAACAACCAGAGGGTTGTGGCATCACTTATGTTAAGTCTTTTATAGATGTTTGACTTTCCCTGACTTTTTGATGGAAGGTGGGTAGCTAAATGGCCTCCCCTCTTCCCAGCCGAAAGAAATTCGTAGTGGGATAAGTAGGTACCAATTTGACATACACTGTAGGAATTAACACCCTGCTTTGTGCTGGTGTGCCATATTCGTAACAGGAATCTGCTGCCGTTAAACAACAACTGATCCAGAATGAATTTCCTCAATGCAGAGAAAATCTCAGATAGTTCTCAACCCATTAGCAACATATCTATGGGAGGATGAAACTGGGTAGCAGCCAACTCGGGTCTGTGCTGATGGGCTAGCAGTGAAAGGAAAACAAAAGTTGCAATGCCCAGTCAGTTGGCATGAAATTTTTGTTTCAAACCCTGACAGCAGTTTAGAAACAAGTCCACAGGGCGAATCTCTGCATGTGCATTAAACGGTATACCCTGGCTTCCAAGGACACTGTATTTGTAGCAACATGGAGCTACAGTGATTAGGCAAGTGTTTTTCACACCTCCAGGCAAGAATGATCAAGAAAGTCATCAGAATAGGGCTGAATCAAAACTATCTCTGTTAGGAATAAAAATTAAAAATAAATCTAAAAGAAAGGAAAAAAAAAAAAAAAAAGAAAAAAGGATGTGACTGTCAAAACTATGATTTGTTCAAAAGCTTTTCCGCACCAAAAAGAAAAAAAGAAAGTTATTATTAGTATTATATTTTTAGTACCTTACTGACCATGGCAAATTTATAATTGTCCTTATGACTTGGCCTGTGTCTTTAATGAAATGGTAACCGTGGGTAGTTATAGAAACAAACAAAATTTTTATGAAGAAATCAGATATCCGACAAATTCTTTGAAAGCCCAGTATGTAAAAAAGGGCTTTTATAGAGAGCAGCAATTCACCATATAAAATAATAATTCATAAAAGAAACATGAGCAAAGAAAACAACTCAACAGCATTTAAAATTCCACGGGCTAATCCACTTTCTGTCTGCAAGAGGCAAACAAGGAAAAGAAAAGTATTACGCATTCATTGATTAAAAATGAAAAGCTTCTAACCTAATGACACTGCCTTTCACCACGTCCCTGCATTCGTCCACCCACCCCCTTCCTCCCCCCCCCCCCCTTTTTTTTAAATACACTCTCTCCTTATTTCAAACCCCCTTCAGATTAATTTAGCAGGCATCGCCTCGTGCCTGACGGGAGGAGGACTCATTGATAATTTATGGAAATATCTACTATAATCCAAGGGAGATGACTTTTTTTCCAGCTTTGTGCATCAATAGATAATCAAGGCCTTCAAGCAGCCTTAGCTTCCCATTACCTCGGGCAAGAGAATTCCTGAAAGCATGCCTCCGGGGCACCTGAATTATATCCTCCATTAGGGGAGGAAAAGCTTTCTGCATTCCACCTATAACACTCCCCAGAACCTTTCCTGTTTATTTCTGCTGTATGAAAGCAGAAGCATTAGGAACAGGATTTTTTAAGTGAAGACTTATGTAGATACAATGGAGAAACCTTTCAAGCGCGAGCCAGATCACCTCCTTCAATCCCTGGCGGTGACCTATCCCAAATAAAAGGTTTCTGTTACATCATTAGCTCAAGCCAAAAACAGCCTTGGCTTAATGCACAGTTTGTTCTTCCTACTGTTTTTAGGCAAATACTGCTACTTTACTCCCATCTGGGAGGGAAATTACACTGCTGGGCTGTAATCTAAGACAAGATTTTCATTGGAAGCAAATGCTTTCAATCCAGTGTAAATACTGGTGCATGTTCAGAAAAGCCTAAAACAATAAACCCTGGCCCCGTCCGACACAAGTTAGAGAAAGTGAAAGGCAGGGAGAGGATAAGAAAGCACCCGGCTATCCTAAGAGCAAATGCTTCAGTAGACTTTTATAAATTGTTTAACCTCTTCCACTTGTTTAAATGGAAAATTGATCCCGTAAAGACTGAAACCACAGAGAGAAGTCTAAATGGTCAATTGTGGATTTTAGTATTTCCATCTACTTTGCAACTCAATACACTCACCTCTGTGAGGTCTCCAGAGATTCCCTCCCCCCCTCCCTTCTTTTCCTCCCTCTTTTCCTCTTTTTAAAGATCTCTAAACAAACTTGAAGCACCACTGACCAGCCACACGGTAGCAGCTACGAACTGCATTTGTAAAATGTCAGCAGCAACTCCGTTCCTGGAGTTGACTTCTCCTGCCGCCAAATGAAGGCGAACTGAAAAGGTGGAAATAATCATAGAAATGATGCTAGTCCATAAACAAGCTTACAGCCTCATTAGTATAGCGGGAGGCTCCACTGGGTGATTTATGCTTGTTTTGCTGATGCCATGAGGAAATGCCATAGGGCAACTTTAGCCAGCTGCTAATGGTTTCTGACAGCTTCTTAGCAACTAGTGCAAGCAACGCTGTGGCGTTTGCTAGTGACAGAAACCGAAAATGTCATATTATCTGCCCATGTGTCACAAAGTCCGTGTGGCAATTAACTAGCAGGCCAGTGACTGAGGGGCCACAGGCTCTTCAAAATGGCCTGTGGCTATTCAGAGGGCAGAGCAGGCGCAGCGCTCGCATTTACGCCACACATATGCACGGATGTGTGCACGATCTGCATCACGCTCCCTCCGCCTCGGTAGCCGATGACTTTGGTCCACACAGATCCTTTGTCCATGGAGAAACTCCAGCTCGCTTTCTCTTTAGGCACAGTGTGACATTATTAGAGGAATTGCAAGTAATCCATCTTGATATGATGGTTGGAAATGGCACTTTAATTGGCAATACCTGATACTCTGGTTTGGAGCGCTGGATCCGAAGGTGCTAGCTGTTTTTCTGCTCGCTCGCAAATTAGTCTAAAAGGATTTAAGATCACTGAAGCAGACTCATTGCCTGTCAAATTGCTGGGAGCACAGCGACTCTGCACAGCAACTAGAAGCTATTTAAAAGGAAAAACCCAGAGCCTGTAAGGAGCAGGAGGAGAGCCCGGGCTCCGCACGCCCGCTCCCCAGCGAGCAAAACCAGGCGCTATATGTCAAACTGTCAAACCTTTCAGCGTGGCCGTTTGCCCTTTCAAATAATATTTAAGAATTGTTTTTACACAATTTTTTATAGGCCATGGTCTAGTGAAAGAGGCCAACCAACAAAGAAAGGAATTTGTACTACAATTCGTCCGTGGACGATTTCTTGCCAGACCTGGGCCAGTCCCCATGGAGCGAGGCAGGTGACCTGTGGCAGCTCCCCGGCTGTCAAGGAGCTCCGATTTCAAACGCCCTCGACTCCAGCGTCCCAGAGTTGCCTATTTAAGCACACCCAGGCATTTAGGCTGTGCTATCTTGTTCCTTTCAAGAAAGGATAAAGCGGCATTTATCGTATTCAGCCCTGCTGAATGGGTCAGGCTGGCCGTGCCAGCGGGGGCTCCTCTTGCTGCATCCCCCTCTACGCCACCATCACTTCCTACAACTCCTCTTCTCCTCCCACTCCCCCAAAAATCAGAGGAAGCAGCAGCAAAGGGCAACTGAGTTTACAGCAGCTCCTCGAGTAGGTAATGCTCTTTTTGTCCTGGATGATCTGTTATAAACCTAGCAAAATAGGTGCTTCTGGAGAGCAATCTGACACATGTACTCTCCTTCAGTGGCCATGGCTGTTGCAGGAGATGGGTGGTGATTCAAAGCCACCTCCCTTGTTTCCATGCTGAACCGAAATTAAATGTCATCACCCTGCAGTGTTGGAAAGGCAGGCAGTGTGGCATAGCTGGGCAAATTTCAGCCACTCCAGTTCCCAAATCCATCCTCAAATCTCAATCACAGAAGCTGCCCAGATACTACATAAACAGTCCCAGTCCCAAATCAGGGACATTTCAGAAAGGTTAGAAATTCAGATGCCCTAAAATCCTCACCCCCAGTGCTTGACTACAAAATCCATGCCTTTGCATGTAGCTCTTTAAACTAACACCCTCAAATGATTTTAAGTGACTAGAAAACTCAATAGCATAGTGCTAAATATAGCCTTACTACAAGGATCTTCACCAAATGTAACAAGATTTTTCTCACTGCATGTAGCCCTGTGCTAGGATTAAATCTGTATTTGGAGTAGAAATATGTTTTATATCATAGAAAAACATACTATTCTCAAAAAAACCCTGCTTCCCACACTTCTGTCATGAGATTTGAGAGAGGTTTTGGGTCCACTACTCCATTTGCTGGGAGGGGGTAAGAGGAAGGCACCAGTTTTGCTGAGGTCCACCAAACCACGCAATGAACACTATCTTCCAGCTTTTACAGTCCACTTCTAGATAAGCATCTAAATCCACTGCTTTAAGGAGTTCACAGAAGGAAATGTGAAAGATGTGTAACCAGAAGCCCTTGGAAAGACCCAGAGCAACTTTTAAGCGGACTGACTAAATCAGTGGCCTCTAAAAGCTCCCTGTGTTGAACTTAATTGTACGTTTCCAAATCTCTCCT